ATCTCTTTGACATTATTATGTTGTGATGGAAAAGAATGTGAGGAGAAATAAAGAAAGGTATGTTTATCATATCATATCCACCTTCAATTACTTCAAGAAAGAGTTTAAGAGACAATTTAATCCTGAGAATGCAAATGATGAGGATAGAGATCGACTACGAAAGATAAAACAAGTAGGATCAATTCAGGAATTTATTAAGGATTTCACTAGTTTGGTTCTTGAAATACCCGACATGACAGAAAATGATGCTCTCTTTAACTTCATGCATGGACTTCAACAGTGAGCAAAGACAGAGCTTAGTAGGCGCAAAGTGCAAGACCTTGCTAATGTCATTGTTGTCATTGAAATCTTAATTAAATACTAAAAAGAGTCCACAAAGCCCAAAAGATAAGAAGAGTACCTATGTCAAAACTATGGGAGACAAAGGCCAACACAAAGGCCCGTCATGAATTGACCTCATCCAAAAGCAAAGAAAATGAAATGGTTAATAACAACAAAATAAGTTGCATAATAACTAATTCCTTTGTGGAGGACTTCATTGGGCAAGGGGTTGCCCTCAAAAGAAAGCGTTGAAGTCTCTTGTTGCTAGCCATCATGAGAAAGGAGGTGATATGACAACATAAGTGGGAACAATACGACTGCTCAACAGGTGTAATCCTCTCCCCGAAAAAGGGCTACTCTTTGTGGAGATGGTTATTGGTGCAATAACTACAAAAGTAATGATAGACACGGGAGCTTCTCAAAACAACATCTCTATTGAAAAATAAAAAAAGATGAGTCTGTATATAACTGTAGGAGGAGGCTCCATCAAAGAAATCAACCCAGTGGCTAGGCCAATTTACAGAGTGGCTAGAGGAGTGTAGACCAGTTTCAGAGCTTGATTATGTGTCTTAAGCTTTTTTATTTTCCCAATGAATGATTTCAAAGAAATCCTTGGGCTAGAATTTCTAGATCAAGTAAGAGCATTCTCAATACCATTCAAAAATAACATGTACGTTATGGAAGGCAATCAAACTTACATAGTCTGACAACAAGGACTAGCAAGAAAGAAATCAAAATATTATCGGCCATCCAATTCAAGAAAAGCATCCAATAAGATAAGGAGAGCTACTTGGATATTCTTTATGGCTCAGATGAAAAATCAAAACCCCATGAAGACATGTCAAGGAAAGTGGTGGCAATACTTGAGAAATTTAAAGATGTTTTACCACCATAATTATCAAAAGAACTACCATCATGAAGGGAGATAGATCATCATATTGAGCTGGAGTTAGTGACTAAGTCGCCATTAATGGGAGCTTACTATATGGCACCTCCAGAACTGACAGAGCTACACAGACAATTGAAGGATTTGTTTGAGCCAAAATTCATATGATCATCCAAAGCCTTATATGGTGTCTTAGTCTTATTTTAGAAAAAGAAGGATGGTTCCCTGCTCATGCATATAGACTAGCGGGCTTTAAACAAGATTACTGTGAAGAACAAATAACCAATACCTCTTACTGTCAACCTTTTTGATCAATTGGGCAATGAAACATACTTCTCAAAATTGAACCTCTGGTCAGGTTACTATCAAGTGAGAATAGCGAAAAGGATGAACCATAGACCGCTTGTGTGACCATGTATGGGTCATATGAGTTCTTGGTTATGACTTTTGGGTTAAATAATGCCCTTGCTACATTTTGCACTCGATGAAAAAACCATTCCAATTGTATTTAAATCAACCAGTTGTTGTTTATCTGGATGACATAGTGGTGTATAACAGCACACACAAAGATCACTTAAGGCACCTCTGAGAAGTGTTCAAAGTACTCAGAAAAAATAAACTATACATCAAGAAAGAAAATTGCTCATTTGCCAAACAAGAAGTAATATTCATAGGTCATAAGATATAAGGATGGAAAGCTTATGATGGAAGAAAGCAAGATCAAAACCATCCATGATTGGGAGCCTCCCACTAAGGTAAATGAGCTAAGATCCTTTCTAGGGCTTGTAAACTATTACCAACAACTTATAAAAAGATATTCCACAAGAGCTGCTCCACTGACTGACCTACTTAAGGAGAATAAGTCATAGGAATGGACTAACAAACGTCGAGAAGCATTTGATGATATCAAGAAGGCAATATGCGAAGAGCCAATACTTAGCCTTCCTAATCATACGAAGAAGTATGAAGTGCACACTGATGCATCTGACTTTGCTAAAGATTGAGTACTCATGCAAGAAGAACATCCAATTTCACACAAAAGTTATAAACTCAATGAGATGGAGCATCACTACGCCATCCAAGAAAAAGAAATGAAGGTTATCGTACATTGCCTTGGAGTATGGAGACACTACCTACTTGAATCTAAATTCAGTACAAATAATATTACCACCAACTACTTCTAGACCTAGAAGAAGTTAACTCTAAAGCAGGCAAGACAACAAGATTTCCTATCAAAACTCAATTACATCCTAGAATATAAACCAGGGAAGGCCAATGTAGCAGCATACATGCTAAGCCGAAAAGCATAAATTGCAAGCATTTCACAAGCCTCCAGCTCCCTAATAATTAGAATCAAGGAAGTGTTGGATGATTGATTGCAAGCATTTCACAAGCCTCACACAAAATCACGACCAACCACTGGCCTATCGAGCCTGACTCGCTATCAATGCAGACATGCAAATGTGAATGTAAACAATCATGTGAGAAGTGGTGAAAATGAGTGTTTCATGGAGGCAGTGACTCATAAAGGGTGGACAAACCATGGAGGCAGCGACCCAAGGATGGGTGTGCCGTGAAGACAATGACCAGGAGGGGTGGCTGTGTCGTGAAAGCAACAACCCAAAAGATAGGTGTGTCGTGGAGGCAACACGACGAATGAATGTATTGTGGAGGCAACAACTTGACTGATGTCTTTTCTATGGAGGCAATGACCCGAAATGGTGGACATGTCGTGGAGACAACAACCTAACAAATAGCTATGCTCTGGAGGCAGTGATATGAAAGCGTTTGCATGCTATGGAGACAGCGGCCCGAAGGATGGATGAGTCGTGGAGGTAGTGGCTGTAAGATGAGTGTGTGGTGGAGGTAACAACCTGAAATGATGAGCATGTCGTGAAGGCAGTATCCCGAAGATGGATGTGTCGTGGAGGCACTGATTCAGAAGGGTTGATGTGTCGTGGAGATAGCGGCCCGATAGATGAGTGTGGTGTTGTGGCAGTGACCCGAATGGGTGGGCTTGTTGTGGAGGCAGTGACCCGACGGATGGGTGCGTCGTGGGGTCAGTGACCTGAAGGGATGATGATCTTCATTAGGGAGAATCATACAAGCTAGGTTAATGTACGAATGAACACTCAAAATACAACTTAAGCATGTGATAAAAATTATGCAATATGTCATATAAGACATATAGCACAAGAGGTGTCGTGTTCGATCGACTAGGGTATAGGATGCCCGTGGGGAGAATTACACATTGCCCTAATAACGACTAGAGACAAATGCTAATTGCAATCACATACATGATATAGTGCACAATGCAATCAAGCAGACTCATGCACATGCACAACATACAATTTGCAAGTGATCGGTCGACCGGACCGGGGTGGTCGGTCGGACCTAAGTGATCGGTCGATCGGGCTGGGGCGACCGGTCGGACCAAAGTGATCAGACAACAGGACCATGGCGGTTGGTCGGACCAAGTGATTGGTTGGAACCAATCACTCATAAGAAAACCAATAACTCACTCGATTGAGATCGACAGACCTTGGTTTAGCAAGACTCGTTCGTCAGACCATTCTAAGTTTGGGTTTTTGTCGGCACATGATACTCTTTAATTCAGTCGTCTTAGTTCACCAGCTGACTGCTCTGGTCCATTTCTTGGCTATCGACCCTTAAATGAGGAGCTCCCGTCGTTACGATGAAACTAAGTTGTCGGACAGAACTTGAATCACCGCAATATGATAGATAACTTGCCCTTTAACAAAAAAGGACCTATAAGCTGTCCGTGGATTATATCATGGTATAAACAATCAATCTTCTGATGAAGGATCTGAGTCTTATGAGAAAATTGCTAGATGAAACTTAGACTGATTCCTTTTAGCTAGTCATGATCTTTTGATTCTTCCTCAAGATTCATAATGGCGCATTTCTGATGAAATGAATTTTAGCTCTTGAGAGCGATTATACCACATCAAGAGCAAAAATTTTTTAGGTATTTTAATTTCTTTTGAATTAATTGTATGAATCTAAAAAAATGTTATGTATTTATAAAGTAATGATTTTTTTATAATTTAAAATTTATGTTTAATTTAAATAATAAGAATACATAATCATTATTTATGTCCATTTTCTTCAAATGAAAATACCAATAGAAATTACTATCAAAATTATCTAAATCTGCCAAAATTTTAATGTATGCACATTTATTAAAATTCTAGAGGTTAAATAATAATGTGATATATGTGTGTGTGTGTGTGAGAGATACCATTTCCTCTTTTAACATCACATCAACATCAAAATTTATTATTAGTAATTTTTTTAAAATAAAATATGCATTGTACAATCACTATATTAAAAGACTATTAATATAAAAAAAATTATTTATATATCTTACGTGTGATTAATTAAGATATTACCCATTTCAAAATTATAAAGAAAGCTTAACCAATAGGCATGTACCAGACGTTTTAAGTATTAACCGAAAGCAACAACCTTCACTCCTAAACAATCCTCTCTCTCTCTCTCTTGCTTTCACCATTCCCCTGCAAATTTTATCTTCAGGCGCGCACCTTTCTCTTCTTTCCACAAAGCTGCACTATCGGCCAAAGCAGTCCCCAGTCAATCAGACAGCCATACCATGCTACGTACACCCCCAAAACTTTTAAACTCTCCCCCAAACTTTTACACCCATTTCTCCGCCACACCATTCCTAAGCGACACGTCACTTAAATTTTTAAAAAACAAAATCAACGCCTCACCCAACATTAATACAAATGCCAGAAGCCAAATTAACCAATTACTAACTAAACGATGTAATATGACTAATTTTCACTACACCATCAAATCCTGCATCAAACCACATTTTATTAACCCACAAAACAAACACCAACCAAAACCAAACCACACCACACGAACAACACAAAGAACATGACAAGCTTAAACCCATAGCCATTAATGGCAAAATATCACCTTCAGCTCCTTCGGTCCCTCACAGTCATGAGCCAGAGACGGGCTATCATGAGCATATGTGAAGGTCGCCGGACAATGATGCTTGAAAAACTCGGAGTAAGTCGATGCACGGCAAGTCATCGGGCTGTTATACTTGTTCCGGCAGCACAACTCATCCGTTCCGTATGCGGCGCACCCACTTTTACACCCTACCACCGGCCCACCCCCCGGCGGAACCCTAAACTGCAACTCCGGCGGGCAAGTAGAAAGAAGATTCTCACGGCATCCGACGACGGGGCAAAGACCGCGGCCTTCGTGGGGGGTTACGGTCATGGGGAGATTGAAGCCGTCGACGAGACTGACGGCGTAGGAGACGAGATCGCGGTGGCCGCCGTGGTGGAGAGTGATTTGAGCGAGGGTGGCGGGGACGTCGCCGGCGAAGCCGGAGCATTCCAGGCGGGTCGCGCAGGCACCGCGGTTCGCGCAGTCACCGGTGGCGCAGGAGAAGCGGGTGCCGGTGTGGGTGCAGCCAGTGCGGCCCCAGATGCGGCCGGACCAGTGGTGGGTTGGGGAGGGGAAGGAGCGGTGGGAGAGAGTGGGGAGGCAGAAGCCGCCGTGTTCGAGGACATCGTGGCCGGAGTTGGGAGCGATGGCCGGGCAAATGGTGAAGGGACAGTTGTTGACAATGGTTAGGGTTGATGGTGGGTATTGAGAAGAGGTGAGGGTAGTGAAGGAGATGAGGAGGAAGGTGATGAGGAAGAGGGGATGCATTGTGAGTTAGGGTTTTGAGTGTTTTGATTTTTGGTAGGATAAGGGTCTGGTGTGAGAGAATGGTGAGTGAGGGGTATTTATAATGAGTCTAGCGGGAGATTAGGGTTTTGGGAGGGTGTCAGTGGGTGTTGTGGTACTATGAATTGGAAAGGCTTAATTTTTTTTTGGTTTATATAAATGGTACATCTACATAGGCATCATGTAATTTTTAGATTTTGAATAAAAAAAATATAATACTTTTAAATGTCATGCCTGATTAAAGAAAAAAAATCATTTAGACCATCACAAATTTTGATTTAAAATTTTAATTGAAAAATTTTAATTTTAGTTTTAGGAAATCCAAATTTTAATTTCATCAAATTTATAGTTAAACTCGATATTTTTTGGAGATGAAGCTCATAATATCAATAATAAGGAGATTCAAATCTGAACAAGCCCAAATAAAAGAAAAATATTTGATTGATCAAATAATATAATTTTCAAGCTTATAATTAAAATAAACATCTTGAAAGAACATTTCAACGTCTCCAAGATTACTCAATTTCATGATTATTAAATAACTTATATCTTAAGCAGAGTGATGTGAGATCAAAAGAGTCAAGATGACCCCATCCATTATAGTGTTTTAGATTGCTGGCTAAAATAACAAATACTACAAAAAAATACAAATACATCACATTCTTTACACGAGGAAACCTTAAAACTAAGAATGAGAGAATTTGGTGGCCTAAAGAATTTTAAGGATTTGCTTAACGTTTGAAATCAAAGATTATCGTCGATAATTTTCATTGCTAGACTTTAATCACCTATCAATTTTTTGTTCGACCATTTTTATTCATTTTTACCACACATCTAACTTCATTACTCAGTCATCTTCGCTTGTTTAATGTCATCTGTACATCATAGCATGACAATGTTTTCTTAGTCATCATTACCTAGTTATATCTCTTAATCATCTTCCTTTGATTACATTCTCTTAACTGTTATCATCTTATTACGATTTCCTAACTACCATCACTCTAAAACGGTCTCTTGATTATTACGGTTTCTTAACTACCATCATTCTAAAATGGTCAATTGATTATTATCACCAGACAATTGTCTCTCAATTATTGCAACTTGACTATAGTCTCTCAACCACCATTGCTCAGCTAGAATCTCTTTATAATTATCACTTATTTGTAATCTTCATATTACCATCACCTAATTATGATCTTGTGGTCATTACACTTGAGTTTCATTAATTTACTAGAACTTCCTAATTATTAGTATCTAATTATCGCTAACTATCATTATCTAACTGCAATAATAAGATTACATGTTATAGTCTTTTAACTATTATCTCCCAATTATAATATCCAGAGTTCTATTGTTTAACTACAATCTCATCATTATTTCTTGATTTTTGTTACTTGTTTATTTTCTTGTGCGAACAACATTGCCATCAATATTAATGCATACAATTATATACCATTATTTGTAAGGTTAATCAAAGTTATTAATGCACATCATCACCTATAAGGCTGATATGATTTTAGAATTAATGTTGATGTATATCGATTTTGTTGCACGCTATGGCTCCCAATCTCAATATATGCCATTGTTAATAAGATTAAAGCATGCCATCGACTTTAGCTCTAATTCTCGACATTGATGGTAGGATTATATTATACTTTTTGACCTCTAGTCTTCTCTTCTTGGATCATATTATAGCTCAATTATATGAAATTGTTATGCATATGTATTTCTCCTAAGGGGCTGGATATTCGCCAAGGTGAAGATTTATTTGTTATGGCATATGTATTTCTCCTAAGGGGTTGGATATTTGCCAAGGTTGAGATATGTTGGCTATATATATTTCTCCTAAGGGAATGGATATTCGCCAAGGTGGAGATTTGTTAGGTACCACTCATATACCATAAATAGGACAGATGTTGGACTGGAGCGGAGCCAACGAGCAGAGTGGAGCGGAATGATCTGCCCAATCGGAGGAGCTTCATTATGTGGGTTGGGGGTGCGACGGCAACACCCTGCGGTTTGATACTGAGGTAATTTAAGTAATTACATATTGTATTATAGGGTGCGACTATACCAACACGAGTGCACCAGATCTCATCAGAACTCCGCAGTTAAGCGTGCTTAGGCGAGAATAATACTAGAATTTGGAGTCTATTAGAATGAAGAGATGTCTCTTGGAATTGAAGAGTCGTGTCTTTTAGAATTTAGTGGGTTGGGGGGATCAGCGAGGGCACAACGGAAACATGGTGGCCCAACCCACATTGGTGCAAAAGAAAGTTCATGATGTATTTTCTCCTAAGGGGCTGGATATTCGTCAAGGTAGAGATTTGTTGGGCATATGTATTTCTCCTAAGGGGTTGGATACTCGCTAAGGTGAAGATTTGTTGGGTATATGAATTTCTTCTAAGGGGCTGGATATTCGCCAAGGTGGAGATTTGTTATGCATATGTATTTCTCTTAAGGGGCTGAATATTCATCAAGGTGGAGATCTGTTATGCATATGTATTTCTTCTAAGGGGCTGGATATTTGCCAAGGTGAAGATTTGTTGGCTATATATATTTTTCCTAAGGGACTGGATATTCGCCAAGCTGGAGATTTGTTAGGTATGAATCATATATCATAAATAAGACAGATGCTGGAGTGGAGCGGAGCCCACGAGCGGAGTGGAGCGGAATAATCTGTCTAATCGGGGGAGTTTCATTATGTGGGTTGGGGGTACGGCGACAACACCCCACGGTTTGATACTCAGGTAATTTAAATAATAATATATTTTACTATAGAGTTATATATGTCTTGTCTCTGAGACTCCGAAAGCTGAATTCTGTATCCTGTACTTTTTTTTTCTGGATTAGTGGAAAAGTCACCGCTCTGCTCCCGAGGATGTAAGCAGCTTTGTCGAACCTTGTAAATCGCTTTGTGTTCTTCTGGATTTGTGTCGATTCGTAGTTTTTCTTCGTCCTAATTTCTCAACAGAAATAACTCCAATGACTCAAATCTCCTCTATTATTAAAAAACTCTACCATATATAATTCATATCTATTATATTATATTGTCGCCTGTTAGAATAGAGGAAATAAGATTATTTGTTATATATGATATAACTAGTCGAATTATTTTAATTTGGCTACACCCTGAAATTTTTACTTTCAGGATTTTTTTTTTTTTCATTTGAAAATCGAGTCTTTATAAATTAATTTTATCATCATCTCAAAATTTCTAAGAACACCATTTATGAAAAGTGATTTGGGACGGGGGCAACACTCACTAGGCCTTAAAAAATGTCATTAAGTCAACATTCCGATCATGATTACAAAAAGGAAATCCCTTCGCCAACCTCTTAATCATTATTTCTAAAAGAAACAAATCAAGATTACGAGTCAAACTTAATTACAAACTTAAAAATTAAAGATTTACATATATATTATTCAATTCCGATGTGTAAACACCAAAATTATTAGCACGAATCTCAAAACAGTCGAACGACCCCGATGACAGTCATAAAATCAAAACATTTTACCGACCGACAAGCGACCGCGTGTTTGGAATCGACTAACACAATATTGCGAGAAATTCAATCAGCAGACCATGTCTGCAGTCCCAACTGACCAAGACGCATGCAAGTGTCTTTGATCGCAAGCTAGTCGACTGACCCGCTTTTACTACGACGTATAAGATTTTCATTCGACTGAACGCTTCAGCTGACCAACATTTACTTCGGAACGTGTGGTCGTCACTCAGCCGACCGAATTCAAGCAGACCAACCAGCCAATTACCGCCATATTAAAATTCGAATTGTAATACAAATATGATATAAAATAGATATGATTAATTAAAGTATCAATTATATTAAGAATAGTTTCCATAACCGTTCCCACCTTCTTGTAATTGTACAATTACGCCCCATTAAATAAAAGACAAAAGGACAGATGAAGGAATCTCTGATTGTTCTCTCTAAAATGAATCATTGACTTATTCTCTAATTCTTCTTTCCTCATTTGTCTAGCTCTAGCTCTCGATGTGTGTTCAAAAAGGACAAATTAAGATTCAACATCCTAAAATATACTGCAGTGAGCGTGGACATGCACCAGACGAGAAGCAGAGCCAACTATGAAAGAAAATCCATACAAAAAGATTCAACTCCAATGCAATTCAATAGGGAGACTGTATGTTGAGACATACATGAAGAGGTCCTGACACTGCGAACAAATAATGAACTAATTTGAGGCTCTTCGGGTGGTCATTTTCCTGAACGCCCGACTATCGACCATGGAGGGAGAGTCTCAGGAAACTTGCCCTAAGAGGGTTCCTCTTAACAATTCGCTAGCACCTCCGGTTAGTCTGGTGGCCTGCCAATGAAAGGTTCTGGAGATTTCCAACTGATAGACAACGTTGCATCTACGTCAGTGGTCCCATATCAGGCAAACGAAATATAAACGCTCGCTCAACCAGTCATGGGTAGCGCCTTCTCCCAAAAAATTCTAGAAACAATACCCCGACAAAGCTCAGAGTTCCTTCCTTTGATCCCTATGAAGGTAAAAGCAACCCGACCGACCACCTCACCTCTTTTGAGTTGACAGTTGGAGTTCTATAGGTCGATGACGCCATTAAGTGTCGGTCTTTCTTGACAATATTGAAAAAAAGCCGCTCTCTGATGGTTTAATAGCCTACCGGATGGAGTCATCCCATTATTCTTTGAATTTTGGAAGCTCTTTCTGGCGCAATATGCTAATGTACAGAAGGCAATGAAGGATGCAAAGACCTTACTTTAAATTAGATTGGAGGAGGGTGAAGGCCTATGAGCTTCATCACTCGCTTCCCAAAAGAAATGTTAGAGGTGAAGAACTTGGAGCCTCTCATCTCCTGAACCG